GTCATCATTAACTGCACAACCATTAGCACTTTAAGTTCCCTGTCATGAAAGTCTTTCTGACTGACACTGTGAAGTCAGCAAAAATTGCATGATAAATACTATATCTCTTAAATTAGTGTTCAAAGTATTAAAATGTTTCTTTGAAAAATTAGTGTCCAGACCTATTCTAATACAATATCATTCCAAATCTACTGCTGAGAGGGTTTCCCTCTTCATTTTTCTACTCTATTATTGATCCTCAATGCCAAGAAATAAAATAACTGCTGCTGATAAGGAAATTACTTCACCTGAATTAGAAAATATACAGAAGTATTAAAATTCCCTTGATTCGTTTGAATGGACTCTCATGTTTTTTCCTTCTTGGTTAACCGAAATGTGCACTTCAACTAGCTCTCATAGTTCTGGAGGACGCTGTGCAAGCTGCTAAGGGAGAAAGTCAATCAATGGTCCAACCCAGCTCTAAAGCCTAATAACCACAATGATTGGCACAGCAAACTACCTCTGTCGGTACAGTAGTGGCACGATTATCTAGGGGTAATCAACAACCATCTAATTGGACTTAAAGTCCTCCCAATGGAAGGGAACAGATAGATGGCACTGTAAAATGTAGCCAAATACACATGGCTAGAGAGGTCATAGATCCTAGAGAAAAGCCCACGTCTGTCAGCTCTCTAGACATATTTAGCATTCTAACTGTATGCTAAATGTGGAACCTTATATTTACATACAAATATACCATACACCACTCATCAAAGAAGCTTCTTTTTACAACAGATGGAGGCTGTTACAGAGTTCCACTACTGGTCACACATGGAGAATACATGTCTGAGAGATGCTCAGCCCTATGTGACACATCTACAGTGGAACCTCTACATCTAAGGCTCATGGAACACAGCAGAACGAGGGGTAGAGAGATGCTAATAGATTCCCCAACTCTGACCAGCGAAGTTTCCTCATACAACAGACTGCAAAGCACACAGAAGTCTACAACTGGCAAAGCTTTAGAGAACCAGACACTGCAGAATGTGTGTCCCTGAACAGGACTCCTCTATTAAACCTCACCCACCCACAGCTCAGGGATCATTACGGAAGAGGGGGCAGAAAGATTGTAAGAGCCAGGGTTGGTGCATGAACATAAGGAAATAGAAGCTTTCAGGCTCCTGGGAACTTGCTCATGGGAACTTGCAACAATGGTAACAGCATGTACAAGACCCATGGAAACTCAGACAAAAACCCAGCATAGAACGAGGAGGGAAACGGGCAGTAGGCCCCAATCCTAGTCTAGAAACTATTGGCAACTGGTTACTGCAGGGTGAGGGAGAGTAGATCTTCCTTAAGGGACTGACTCTAGGTAGATTGACAAGACTCCAGTGAATGAACTTGCACTGAGGGACATCTTCGTACAAAACCTTTACTGGATCAGACTCAACATATATGACAGAATGCAATGTGGTGTGTGTGGGGGATACAGGGAGCTCAGATGGGGGAGGGGGTCTAAGTTTGATTAAGATCTTTTAATAGGAAACACAAAAACTCAACAAAATATTTAAAAATATGTTCAGCAATATTGAGAAATGCATGGCCACTTTTTATTATTAAATCATGATGTACTTTTTCCCACTTCATGACAGAATTTCTGAAGTAGCATATTTCTGTAAAGCAATCAATACTGTAAATACACTTATACCTTCTGGTTTCATAATAATAAAATAGTTTTTGAAACATCAAGATGCAATGAACCTCTCTTACACTGATGCAAAAATTAAATAATAGAAGGAACAGAGAAATATGTCTTTCTTAATTGCAACATGGAGATTGACTATTAGTGATATTCCATGTAAAGGAGTAAAACTACAAAGGGAGAAAACTGAACAACCCAAATTGTGTTAGTCTGCACTAAAATATAAGTTTGCCTCACATTAGCAGTCAAGGAAGGGAAAAAACCCTGAACATTAAATATTAATTCATGACAAGATTGATGAAAATGAATCATTTTGTCTTCTTTAACTTGAAAACCTAGCTCTGAACCCCAGGCAAAGAAACCATATTTAAAGGCACTATCAACCAAATTCTATTTATAGGGCTTCTGTAATGACTTGGTTGGAAATCAAAATATTCATGCAAGGAGATAATATTATTTTGGCAAATAATCTTTGTTTGGAAAAATTATGAATTTTACACATTAATTACTGGTATGACCAAGTTATCTTTTCATTATCCCTCAAAAATATGCATTAAGGGGCTGAAATAGCAAGAATCCAACAATGAATCAAGCTGCAAGTCACCCAGGAGCAGAACGAATTTCTGCTGAGTAAATACACCTTCTACGGAATTCTGTTTGCTGTAAATATTCAGATCACACTTTACATAGTATTAAAAGATCCAGGATCCTTCTGGATTCTGCTTCAGATCCTAGATCAGAGTGCAAATGCAGAGTGAAGCTTGTCATCGGGCCACGTCCTCAAGCCATCAGGTCATGCCTCACAGGTC